AACTCAGCGGGGACTTAGTGGTATACTCGGCCTACAAGCAGTTCTCCGCATACCTCGTGGATGCCAGGCAGCATACCTACACGGTTTGGCCTTTGGACGTCATGTGGAGCACTACTCCTGCTGGGCCCAGCAATGATTGTAGCAGCCCAGATGTGGGGGAGCGTTTGCTCGAATGGCTCAGCCCGTATAGTGAGGAGAAGGCACCATACCAATGCTACAACACTGAAGAGGACGCCCCAAATTGGATTGGACAATACTGCGACCACATGTTGCCATGGCAAGTTGGAAGATGCGAACCCAGCAACTAGTGAGCGCGGAGTGCAGAAGTTGTGGAAGGTATGTCGACAGTTCCTTCCAATAGTTTGAACTTTTGGGCCGCTCCACTCTTCAGTGTCGAGTGCAAATAATGGGACATTCATCCATTCCCAGTAATTATGCCGCAATTGGAGGCAATTCCTGGACAACAGGTCCAGATGAACCTGTGATATATGATACTGTAAAGTATTGTAAAGTAATACGTCGCATAGTCACAGCCACTGGTAGTGCCCAAAATGTGGTTCCTATCAGTGGCTTTGGCGTTGGCAAGGGCCCTCAGCGGTGCCTGAGTTTGGGAAAGAAGGAAGACCTATAGAAACGAGGCCTTCAAAGAAAGACCCCGGACTGCTCAAGCGATCAAAAATGAGCACACACTGACCACGGAGACTTCCCGACTGTTCAAAGAAGGAAACTACACCGTGGAGCTTTGCGTTGCAGCATGAGGAGATAATTGTCATGAATTGCCTAGGCTTAAACTTAAACCATTTTAAACCTGATGATCTGGATGACCAGGCTCTTGCAGCTATTGGCTGGTGGCAGCTGGAACAAGGAAGATGTTCAACGGTGGCAGACCTGTCAGAGATGCATGCCGCAGGACATTAAAGTAGCACTGAACCACCTGAAATTGAGGCTGACAACGCTGACAATGTAATGACGTGGAATGATACTATAGCCATAGCTCTTAAAGCCATTTAAAGCCACCCAGAGCATTTGGTGCAAACAAATCAAGTCGCAGCAGACACTGTCCAGAGAAACCTTCAAACCTTCGCAGGTCTTCTCTGATTTGGTAGCCATGGGCTGCAATTGCTCAAGTTCCGAGCCAGCGCAGCCGCAGCCTGATGCAGCACGTTGGTACACGAATGTTTGGGATCGAGGCCGGAGGAATTGGTTCACCCAGACGGAAGCCCTGCAAGATACACTGGGAGCAATTTATGGATAGATAAGATCACCAATCAATTGGGCCCCAAAAATCGTACTACTCACCTAAAACAAGAAGATGCCGAACGTATTATGGTGGGTACCGCCGTAGTTTCCTTTGGTCCACAGGTGGGCACTGAATGCATCACGCACACTGATCGATACCTTTATCATACGATGCTGTAATTAGCGTTGCTTCATGTTGCCGTTTCTTGGCGGGGTGGAGCACGTTGCCTCGCTATGCGTAGCTTACCGATTTTGTTCAACTGAGAGTGTGCATGCAATCAGGTGCATGGGTGACCTCAGCGACAACTGTTTTCCCTTTCACCGGGACAAGTACCCCCCAGACAAGGCTCTGGTCTCTCAAAACCACGCCATCGAGAGGCATGCATGTGAATTGGCAGGTGATGCTGAGAACGGAGAAGATCGGCTGCAGAACATGGCACGGCCAAATCCCATCCGCTTTTTGCCCATGCAACTGGGCGAGGCGCCATGGCCGCATTGCTGCCCAGTCCGTCGAAACCAGACCAAGTGGAAATCGTGAAGGATTATTAAAAAGACCCCATGCCATTTATGAGCAAATTTTGGATTGTTGTGATATTGACATATATTATATTCTTTAGGGCAAATCCCTACAGACAGTGTGTGTTGTGGGTGGTAGTGTAATTATGCAAGGCTTCAGGCTTTTGTTCATCGAGAGCTCTTTGGGCTGTTGGCGAAAGATGGTGCTTGATGTCCCACAAGTAAAGAATTGTTCATGAAAGGTCCCAATGTCTTGGCGTCGGGAAAGCCGTCGAACTCGGGACAATGTTTCTCGAAGGTTTCGCAAAGGCTTCGGCGAATGTGAAAGCCCCCCCCCAAGACCCCTGCCCACATGCGAAAAAAACATAGCGAGCGTGGCCAAAACTTGCCGTAGCCCATGCCAGGAATGATGAGCCTGACATAGCCTGACACAGAATGGGTTTTGTTACTCATGCAGGTATGTTGCTGGGACCAAACCAATGCCTATAAGACTTCTAGAACATAATTTTGCGGGAAAGTTACACATGGAGCTCGCAAAAGATTCGCGAAATGAACAAAAATTGCTTTCCCTAAGAATGACCGTTCCATGAGATCAATCACCAGATCAACCACCAGATCTCGCAGCAGGTGCCGACAGAAAACAACAACTCGTTTGGACGACGGGACTCGTTTGGCCGAGGTCACGGTTCTTTGGCGCCAGGAGCGGGCATGGAGCGAGTGGGCGGCTGTGGGATGTCAAGAGTGGAAGTATAAGTTACAGTACGAGGGAGGTGTCTCTACTGGGGCTATACAATCATAATAGATATATATATATATTTAATACAGTAATTAATATTATACAATAAGTACAATACAGTAGTTTAACATACATGTACAATTAAACTAGTATATATTTATGTATATTGTATATTTTAATGATATTATATCATATGTGAATTCGTGTGATGCATAAGAGATACCCCGATGTTTTGCCAATTACACCCGGGAAGAATAACATTTCAAAAAAAATATCTTGGAGCATGTTAGTGTGACTGTTTGGCCTATATGGATGAGGTTGGAAAGCGGTCCATGTTAGTGTTGGTACATGGCCCGAGAGTATGGGGAAATCATGAAAGACAAACACCATTTTTTCTAGCCGACTTAGCCTAACATGGATGCATCTTGAGAGTAACTAGACCTGGACCAGGGTTGGTCCATGTTAGCTTTTGGGTGGGCCCATATCTTCTCGCTTCCACGCTGCTCCACACTGTCCGGTTTTTCTTTGCCCCTGTTCTATGTTAGGGCTTGCTGGCTGCTGATGCTTCAAATCCCAGTATGGTATATGTCCTAGGAATGCGCTGTTTCCAGTGTGCCATGTTAGTGAGCACCCGTATGTGGAATCTAGTCGCTTGTTATTTTTCTCCGGAGTATCTTCAAGCATTGGCTGGGTTGGGATCGCTGGATGTTGAGAGACCCCCACGCTTTTGGATTGCAGGATAGTTGGAATTCATCCGCGCACGGAGAAAGCGCAGGATGATGGAAGCTTTTATGTCGACGGCAGCGATGTCACGGAGAAATCTGCCGGCCTGCAATATCGGATGAGCAACTCTTCCATACCTAGTAACAAGAAGCTACTAGGAGCAAGGACGCTACTAGGGGCTCCTGGCATCGAGGAGCAAAGGGCATCGCTACTAGGAACAAGAGCAACTCTTCCATACCGGTAAGGGGTCTGTCAGACCAAAGAAGACTAAGGCTGCTATTGCAGCAGATGCACCATGCTCCTGATCCATTGTTTTGCAAGTTGGTCCCACAAGCTCTTCAAAGATACCACACCAAGCTAACAAGAAGAGGATCAATAAACCTTGGAGATGCAATTCGTCGGATGCCCCAAGACATCAAGAGTCCATGCATTGCACATGCCTTACACGGCATGTGACGGGACACGTCGTTTCATCAGCTTCATAATGCGTAATTTCAATAAACACCACTCAGTGTGCCAGCCTGCCAAGGCAAGTCCTTGCATGACAACGACCCGACACTCGTCCTTCAGGGCCGGGCCTGGGCCTGCTGACGGCGGTTGGTACGGTTGGTACTGTGCTGTGCAGTGTTGTGCCTTTTCTTGGCATGCTTTCGTGTGCGCATTGGCTTTGTTCGTGGGTTGGTAAAGATATGTGAAGATCGATATGATATGTGATGCGATACATGCTAATTTGTTTGATGCCTGAATGTTTTACAGAATATATAAGCCAACTGTTTCAATCCTCCTTTGCGGAGCAGTTGTTTTCAGTTGATACGGCTTCATTTTGCACGGCTGCCCAGAGAAATGCCTCGCTCAGGTTTCTTTGGTGAGGAACGACATGAGATCCGGTGTTTCAGAGTTCTTTTCTTTGCAGGGGTTCTCGACACCAACATGACGTAGGATCACATATATAATATCACTTACATGACATACCGACATACTTTTGGTCATTCAAAGTTGCCCACAAGCAGACTCCAACAGAAAATAGGATAACCAAATGTGAAGACAGACAGACAGAGACAGACAGAGACAGAGACAGAGACAGACAGACAGACAGACAGACAGAGACAGAGACAGAGACAGAGACAGAGACAGACAGAGACAGATAGATAGATAGATAGATATAACGGCCCCTTACCAGTTCCCCCTACAAACTGTTCCACTTCCATGGTTATTCCAGGGAGCGTCTATCATAAACTCCATGAAGTTCCCCGGGCCCCCCATCCGTGCCCCAAATTCCCGTCATTGCTTTCGTTCATGATTTCGGATGCTAAAACGCGAGCTTCGGCTTCTTCACAGGTGCTTCGCGCACCGTTGGCCACGGCGCTGTCGGCACCTACCGCGGCTCGCGCGTGACTCGCGCAGTGCGAGCCGAGGACGATGATGGCCACCTGGGGCAGCAGCGTCCAGGGCGAAGACCTGGGCGACGGCTGGGTCACGTGACGGCATGGAGGGGGGAAGCATTTGGGTGAATCGGTGAGACGTGCAAACTATGTTCATTGAATCAAAGATGTATTGTGTACATGTATGCAGTCGATTCATCAAGAAGCATTCGGCCCGAAATTAAAACACCTCTCACCAAGTATTAAAGCTATGATGCATGCGGTGCTTCATCATCAATCAAGCTACAGACTGCACCAATGCTGAAGTGGAAGGCTGTGTTGTTTCATTCGGTTGAGCCGTTTTGTAGCTCGTTTTGGCTCCAGCTTGATCAACTTTGAGCGCTGAAGATTGAAGACATTTTCGGATGACGTACGGCTATTCCTACAACGGGTCCTACGGCGGCGTCTCCTACAGTGGGTCGTACGAATATGGATATGGAGGTGCGCAGTGAATGCGTCCAGCTAATTACAGTGAATGCGTCCTGTGAAGTTATAGTTATAGGAGACAAAGATCAAACCAAATTGGGTGTTTAATTCACTTCTTAATCAGGTGCGACCATCCTGGTGGCTGTTGCATTGGTCCTCGGGTTCATTGTTGATATGTCGGACTGTACGCTTTGGTGCTTGCAGCACCTGGACAGCGTTGTCCAGCTGTTGCATGTTGCAGCCACTACGCAGTGGAGATAGGGCCTAGGGAAGATGTAAGATAGCAGATATTTACTGTACAATGAGGCAATATCATGGTTCTTGTTGTTGTTGTTGCTGTGACCTTGCTTTGAGGGGTTCGTAGCGGCTCTACTCGCTACCCCATGCGAAACAACATGACTTCAGGATATTGCTGTGACTGAAGCCTTTGACTGTAGTTACCGTACAATTCCATATTTGACAGCAGAGTGAGGTGCGTTGCTTTGCATGAAACACCTTTAAAGGTAGACCTGGTGTCATTTAGCATATATCAATGTTGCAGTTCTACGGTGTTCGAATCAGTTTCTTGCTGATCCCAACGCTGTGTGAAACCTTATCAACACACAGACGGCAGACGTTGTCGCTGCAGTGCTTATCCCTATGTCTTAAACGACACCATTTGTTCATCACTGTAGAAGAATTAGAGGCACTAGCTATATCTAGCCTATACAAATACTGCACTGGTGCCTATACAACATCCAAAGATGGTTTCAGCTCGTTCGAGCCGTGCCTCTCGTGCCTTCTATGCCAGAGGACAAGCTCCGGGAGTAGTTTCAATAAACCGAAATAATAAAGAAACACAATAAACCTATGTGTTTTAGTTTTAGTTTTAAGGATTGCTTTTTATTCTTTGTGTTTGCATGTCATCTATTCTTTAGACGCTACGGTGGCGACTGCCAGGTGCTCAAGGTGGCGTCCGGGCGCTCTCGGCGCCGGGAATTTGGGCGGAAGCATGGTGACGGTCAGAATTAAAAACGGGAGGAAACATCCAAACAACAAAAACAACCATGACATACCATGACCATGTATGGAAATATGAATACTTGCCTTTTGAGCAATTTGGGGTGATTTTAGAAACCGTTTCGCATATGGATTGGGACAAGCTCTGAAGATAGGGTAGCGAAAGGGAAGGAACAGGACGGGTGAACATTTCTCGTCGCACAATTTGCTGCTTGGACACCCACGCGCCCCAACCACTGATCGTGCCAGAGTAATTAGCGTGAAGCAACTGTGGCCATGCTCAACTCACTTGAATCAGCTTCTGATTGGATGAATACGCTTGGGTCTTTTCAGAGAAGCTGCAGAGGAAGCCTGCTAGATTCATACCCAAGTTACTCTGTTTATTGACTGCGAACTGACACAGCTGCCAGTGAATTACTGCTGAACAGCCAGTGGCACAGATGCTCTTCCGGACTCCTGTTCAGGCGGCGGAGGCTGTGAAGATGTGTTCTGCGAGGAGAGCCAATATGAGACAAGTCAGCAGCGCACATGAGTCAGCAGTTTGCCCCTCAGCAATTATTGGACTCGCAGCTTGACTGAGCCGATCTTTGGTTTCAGCTTCCAGGAGGATCCTGCAGGGCGCCTTTACGATGAGCGTTGGGTACATGTTGGGCGAGGCGTTGTGGCACTGGTGGACTGGTGGGCTGTTTGTCAGGTCTGGCAGGTTGCAGTTGTGCAGGGCTCCACGAGCCTATGTGGCCAGTTGAAAGCAGGCATATCATATGTTGTATTCTTGTGCCATCGCCCATATTGTCCCCTTGCACTCAACAAACCATAGTGGCCTCTCGAAAGTGGTTGCAACTCAAACTGCCTTTCCTGTGCTGTTGTTGGTGGCTGACACCAGCCAAGTCCCGGGTGATGTCATCGCTTCATACACCGGCTGTTTCAGGCCGTGGGGAGTATGACCAGGTGAGTTCCATGCAGCACGTGGGGCAAGGCCGAGGAGAGTTCACCAAGGAGAAGTATGTGGCACGTCCGGGAGGCGCAAAGAGGTCTTGGAAGTCGGAAACATGTGACGGTGAGTTGGAAACCGCAATTCAGGAATTCCTTTCCTGAACCTGGAGAGGGTCTTTTAACCAGGGGTAGGCTGGTGTATATAGATGTAAAATGATGTAAGATGTATACGAAAAGCTTCGGCTTGTTTGCACCACTGCACACATTCCGGGAGTGTACAGCAGAAAGCTGCGGAGGCATGCGTTGCCGCATTTTTTGCATTGTCTCGCTGTGCTTGATGCTGTTGCTGGTGATTGGGCTTTTGATCTACTATGTGCGGCTCCGGCTAAGATTCTGTGCAAGTTTAATTTGGATCTTGCAAGCGTTAGATCAATACTAAGATACACATTTACAATACTAAGATACAATTTTATGATACTACATCCTTAAGATCTTTGAATTTGAGATGTCGCTTCATTCTTAGGGAGCTCTACTGGAATCCAATCGGCTTTGGCATCATCGTGAACTTCAGTTTGACCAAATCGAAACACTACATCCAAAAAGTAAAGCAGGCCTCACCTCACCCGCTCCATTCCGCCGCTCCGTGCGACCTAGGTCGCTCCGGGGCCAGTGGCATGATTCCCCGTGCTGGAATTACGCCACGGTGATGAGTCAGGGCATGTCTGCGTCGCTTGGACCTGATGGGCAGAGCCATGCGGACGCGGACGGTTTTCAGGGTCGTTGAGGGTTAATCAAGCAATCAAAACACTTCAATGTGACGACGTGGATTTAGTTTGGCTTTCAGCCGGAGACTTGAGGCCCGCTGACACAATCAGCACGGTGAACGGGCTTGATTATGTTCCGGGGGAAAGATTCAGAACGGTACGAAGATGTGCGCACTCGAACTTCAAAACCAGGACCGACTCTTTCGGGCAAGATTCTTCTAGAATCAATACTTACTCATCCCACCTGGGTGATAGGCCAGTGTCCTTGCTTTTCTGAGTTTGCCTGTCAGCATCACGACATCCAGTCAATGTTGGTCCCTGCATGGCATAACCTATATCATTATTTGACTCACATACTTGCTATAATTAGATATGTATATGTATATATATATATATATGTGTGTGTGTATGTATGTATTTATTTGTATATATATACACATACGTACTGTAGCTGGGCCTGCTGGCTAAGTCAGGTTTGGCCCTGGCCATGTTTTTGCTGGAGTGGTGAATTCTTCAACATGAAGGTGTGCACCCGCTCGCTGGCGCCCACCGCTTGCCCCAAGGATGTGTTGCCAGCAGGGCTACGCCTCCTTTTGCTTGGCTGCCTCACCACCGGTGGCAACACCAGCACCAGAGAAAACCGTTATACATGAGCCGCTGAGCTGCAGATGAGGGTGGGTGAGCCTCAGAATACCTCAAGATTCATGACCGTGCGCTGTTTTCGACCGTTGTAAGAGAGTAAGTTGAGAGCCAGCAAGCTGACATTCCTCACGTTTCCTCGGATTGTTCAGCATACTTCCCAATCCTCCGGTGATTTAGTTGACGTCGCAGGCAGCATATTACGAAGGTCGTTGACGTACCTGTGCCTCATGTCGTGCCTGTGCTTGGCCCCAGCGAGGGAGATTTGGAAGATGGTGATGGAAGGCAAGCCTGGTCAACCAACTGAAGACCACGGGGATGACAACAGCATGTTGGTGTCGGATGGTGCCGGCTAAATGACCAATTCAAGCATCCTAAACTCATTAGGGTAGATGAACATAGATGAATGTTCTAGCACCAATCTAATTATTGTTCACCTCAGGGTCATGGGTGGGTCATTGGCACCCACGATCGAGAGTGGTCGATCTTAGAGGCCTCACGGAGTCTAAGACTCAAGTAACTCATTGCACTCAGAGCAAGGCAGAGATCAAAGAGACCCGTGCCACAGTAGCTGGTAGCTAAGTGTGGCAGGCTCCCTTCCAAACCACCAGGATTCAGCAGATGCCTGGTCGTCGAAAACTGAAGATTTCAGACACCCACAGAGCTCCTACGAAACTTCCTGTCTCCTGAAAGAGACTGGCACCTGTCACTGCTTGACCGACCCAGGTGCCACTGCCACCACCCCCACGCAAGGTGATCAACCACAAGGCAATGCTGGCATGTGGGGGTGGATTGCTGGCTTGAGAAGTCGTTTTGAGGATGTGCAGCAGGGGTTGAGCGATGTCGTTGATAATCCCTTGGCAGTTATTCTATGTTATTCTCCAATCAAGATTTAGGGCTTTGAGAGGACTTGTTTGGAAGGACATCGGCTCACCGTCTCATCGCAGAATGGTGGTCACAAGAGAGAAACACATCCACCAAACACCATTAATTCTCCCTTCCCCCATTTCCCTTTTTTGTCGGAAATCATTTCCGAAATGCATGAGGCAATTATATATAAATATAATCATGCTAAACAACCATTTCAAACATGAATATGTCATAGTTTCATGTGACTGTGTTTAACTTTGTTTAGAGTTTAGACCTTGTGTTAATGTGTTTGGTATGGTCAAATCGGTCATACATTGATTTATACAGATGTGGCCTTTTATACATAAATATGTGGTTTCTTGGTATGCTGGGAGAAGATCTGTATCTTAAGATCTTGAGCGGGGCTGGTGTGCACACATATATATATATTATATTTTATCTATAAACTGGATATATTATATATATTACTATATATATAATATGTTGTGAGTACTTAGTTTTTGGTGCAACCCTGAGGTCTACGTCCATAGTCATGCCTACGACTGTGAGAAGGGCTCCAATGACTGGAAGAACTTGTGGTCAGGATCTCATCAACGCTACTGCTGCTTGGCCACAGAGAGCCGAACTACTCCAAACAATCTGGAAGTTGGACATGGAATTTGGTACCAAGCTTGTACTAACGCAAGTCTTGTTTGTGTTTTTGTCCATTTCGTTGTATATGTTTCGCATAGGGGGAGATTCAAGGTGACAACCACTTGCTTGATTCAGGGGCCAAAACCAGGCCCATTAGGCGTTAGGGTCCACAGAGAGTTCTGACGAGGTTGAATATGGAGTCCAGAAACGTAGATACAGCGGGATGACATATCATACAGAATGCCTTGTGTTGTAGGATGTTGTAGGGCTGATACCTTGAGGAGTTTGTTGGGTCCAAAGGCCAGCGGTTCAGTGTGGGAAAGACCAGAAAATGCCGCGAATGCTTTGAACGACTGCTTTGCAGCCAGACAATGATTGAGCAGCTGATTTGGGTACTCCGAGGCTGCTACCTCAAAGACATCGCATGCAGCAAGAAGATTGAGGTAACATGGCTGTGAAGATCGCAACCTTCGCCTTGAGCTCGCAAGTGTCTAACATTGTTGGAGTTTGGACGCACTGAGAGTCCAACATAGCCAAGACAAAAGGATAATTCGTCTCTCAGTGATGGCTCCTCCTCAGACTCCTCAACCATGCCCCAGATGTTGCCCTTTGTCTTGCTGATGTTTGTCTTCTCGCTTCTCATCCCGCAGGTGCACAACCACTACCACACCATCACGAAGGTGAAGCCCGTGGCAATGCCCGTGCGCATCGCCGTGCCTGCACCGCCCCCGAAGGTGGTGACACACTTCGCCACTCGGCACGGTCGACGGCACGCGGACCGTGGACGGTGGAGAGGGGGGAAACGGCCGGTCGTGGACGGTACGGAGTCATGGGCGGTGAGGGGGCATTCCCACACCTGGTTGGCACATGATGCTTATGACTGTAATGGCTGGCAGTTAGCCCAGCAAAAGGATATGACCATCCATGACCAGCCAATCGAAAGAACACTGCCAGGAGTTACATTTCTCCAGACTAGAACTCCGCTCCAGCAAAATGTGATTTTTCGGCCAAAAAAACGCTTATTGCACCCGCGAAGCCGCTGTTGACGGCTTCACCTCGTTGCACCGGCTTTTACGATGGTTGAGGAAGGGGACCAGTGACCCATTCGTGGTTGGTCGGGCTTTCTTTTACTACCGGGGTCACAGCCAGATTGCCTGCAAAGCAAAGTGTTCGGCGGGTGCAAGGAAGGGGCACTCAAAATTACGCTAGAATGAAGAATTCTTCCAACAGACTGGAGAGCATTCATCGAACACCGCTTCACTACCCTGCTTTGCAAACTTGCAGCAATCCAATCCTCCCAAAGCGACACAAACAAGTCTGGAATCACTGTAGTAATTAATTGTGCAGTTTGGGGGATTCAATTGATTGTGCCCGCCCTGGCCTCGTCCAAAGCATACAGGATCCTCAAGTGTTTGAGTTTGATTATGGGCATGTTGTTTTGCAAGATGCAGTTGTAAGGCTATCGGCTATTCCCACACTTTTTGTGTGTGTGATGAGTTTATTAGGCATTCCCACCCACCAGCACCGACCAAAAATCATCAATCACACATCATGAGGTTCCTGAAGTAGCTTCCCGTGCTGTCCTTCCAGGAAGACGTGCCCCAAACATCAGATGTTCAGATAGCACCAAGTCGCTTCGGCCAAGGATCCGACGCCGATCCGAGCCGATCACTGAGGTCAACGATCCGATTCATGATCCACCGCAAGTGATCAAGGTCCCCGAGCCTGGTCCCGCGCATGTGGTGCCAAAGCCGCCCGGCGAGAATCCGCAGATCTGTGGAGTCATGGAGCGGTAGTGATTCCTCATAGTGGGTGGTAGTGTGGGTGGTTGGAGTAGTCGGGCAGATCACCACGGCCATGCCTGTTCAATGAGTTGCTGAGGGAAGTGTGAAAAGAGTATGACGACGGAGTGTTCACTTGCATGCCTTGCTAGATGTGTATGTTTCATGCTGGTCTATGTTGAAAAAGACTCAGCATGCCTTGCATGGCCTTAAAGGCATCATCCTTGACTTGATGCAAAGTCCTGGGAGGTATGTCCACCAGAAGGTCTACAAACCAGTGCCCGTGCAGAGCCCTCCGCAGTATCACACCGTCCCAGTCCCTGTTCCAGTGCACGATCCCGGCCGAGCCTTGTAAGCTTTGAGAGGTCTGAGAGGGTGCCAAGGGAAAGAGCGTCGCTGGTGTTTGTTCTGGTTTGTTTGAAAGATGAACGCCAAAACTATGCATAACATTGTGTTTGTTTGATTTGATAACGCTCTTTCCAAAACAAAAATACATATATTAATATATATATATCATTCATTGATTTCTATGTTTGATATAATTTGTTCCTTGCATAGTAGACATCACAAGAAGGGGAAACAACAAAGATGCACAAGCCAGAGACCCTTCCAAAGGCACTATTTTAAGCATTCAATGGATGGAAGCGATTTCCAAGACATCGTAACAAGTTGACAAGGCAATTCCTTTTCCATATCCGCTGCTTTTGCAAGTGATGGTCAATGGTCGCCATAAACTGCCAAGACCATCAGTACAAGCTTGCCAGATTTTGATGTGATGTGGACATGCTGTCCCACTCCTTTGGCGATGACCAGTCTTCTGAGCATTGGTCTATTACCCTTTCTGTTGTCGGTAGTCGGTAGAGCCACTTACGCAAAATTGAAGTGTTAGCTACCCCGCTACCCCCCCCCCACCAATACACACCTTTTGCGATACATTCCAACTCATTTTGTTAGTAGTATCTAATGCAATTTGCAATTGCGCATGTAGTAATTAATGGATATAATTGATCATGTCAATGTAAATGTTCAATATTGTCAACTCAATTTGTTACATTGGACTTGCAGTTCAAAGTATGAATTTCATGGTGCACAAGTGTGAAGACCCCACAAAAAGAAACACAACAATTTACAGAAGAAATTGTGCACGTGACAATGAACAATATTATATATGAGCACTCCAGTTCATACTGTCAGTTGCACCTAGTGCAAATGCACGTATGATAATTGATGAATACAACTTATTATATGAGTTGTTAGTTGTTTGTTGCACTGCGACATTACATTTAAACAACTCAAATTTGGAATTTAAATGTTCATATTTGTGACAGTCACAAACATTGGGTTTGCGCAACTGGAACATTGACCTGCATGCCTGCATCCTTTGTAATTGTGAATATCGCAGGGTAACACATAAATTTACAGAACTAACTATGTATTTGTGTGCATGACAATTGATCATATCATATCAATATTCCAGTCTGATATGATTGTATAAAATGATTTGGTTTGCCCATCACTCAAGTCAAATCGTCTTCATGGATCGTGAAGGCATCCCTACTCTTCAATGAATTGGCCTTAATATCATTTTCTGAAAGCTTATTATATGCTTCCGACATTGAAAAGATATGATATTGAAGTAGCAACCCTTTTCTATCTCTAAGCCCATTGACTAATATATTTCTATTGGTGGTGTTTAAGATGTAAAAGATATTGCAATTGCATTTTTGTTTCTTCTTTTCCTGTTGTATGGCATAAATCCTTCCTCCAAACTCACTCTGGCAACGGCATGCCTCCCTCAAAGTGTTAAACCAGTAACTCTTTTGTGCGGTGTTGTGTGATTTTTATAGCATTGAAAGGTGATGTTTCCTAGTTGTTTGTCATCTTTAGTAAGATCGGTTTCCCATAGTTCATAATGAAGGAGTTTTACAACAACATTTTTTTCATTGTTTGCTTGCACCAGTTTTCTTAAAAACTTTCCATATATCAAAGAAAACATTTGATGCCTTCACTTCCACTGTATACAATGTAAAACTAGATAATTTGCTAATGTCAATGTCATCACTGTAATGTTTCCAACTATTGAAAACCGGTATGAATTTAATCTGCGCAAATGCCCATGTAAAGACTTTTAGTCCTGTCAATCTCTATCAGTTTTGTTGTATCAATGTTTTTATCAAAATATTCTGATGGGACTATAGTCCTACAATAATTTTATCAAATCACCTGATGGGACTATAGTCCTACATTCATCCAATATTGCATTTGTAAAGAATGTCCTTCCGGACCCCTGGTAGCTGTGAACAAAGCGTGCAAATGCTGTGGTGTGACGAAAGTCTTCCGAAATCTGCAGACATCTTACGAAACCTTAAGATTTTCCTGGAACCAAGAAACCAAGAACCAAGGCACAGAAGTCTTGGGCAAAATCGTGGTTCTGATGAGAAGGTTTTCTTGGAACTGAGAACCAAGATTATCCCCAAGACTTCTGAGCAATCTTGGTTCTTGGCTTCTTGGTTCCAGGGAAATCTTAAGACTTCTTAAGATTTCTGCAGATTTTTGAATAATGTTCTTGTTTGCTTCTTGTTTTTAGATATAATCTTCACCTGAGGACATGTATATATACATATATATATATATAGTACCCCCCTTTCAATTAACTGATAGATTATCGTCCCCATGCATGGTACCACCCCTCCAGAAAGTGGTCCAAACAATCTTGTGAAAAAAGGTCTCAAAATATTACTCGCAAAATAAGTCCAAAATATCACAAAAACACAGTAATTTACAGTATAGAACGTGTGTGTTTACATTGACATGCGTACTATATATATATAGAGAGAGAGACCCAAGAACCTCCTTAGGATGACGGCTGCCGCAAACGTTTGTCGTTTCCGGGGGTGGCTTTACGCTTCCCACGAAGCCCCAGGAAGCGTACCACATGACACCAACTTTACACAACCTATGTCCTCCACCGACTTTACCAACCCGAAAGTCGGGATTCTGTTTCAGCAGCATCTCCACGTTGCTGAGGAGTGATCCCCCTGAAGGTCCAAATGCCACCGAAGACCGTCGGGGACGCCCAGGAAGAAGGAATGCACTGATGCGGTTGGGTTTGACCCATCCTGCTTCTGCTGTTGCTGCTGCGGGTCCTGACTAAGTGACTAACTACAAGCCATTATCATGTGTTGGTGGTGGCGGTGTTCTTCCCCAAACAGTTTACTGTTGGGGTTCTCCCTTAGGAAAAAAGAAGCTGGCCACAGTCGCTGGCCGCGCCGGTGAACGCAGTGTCCTCCTGTTGTCCTCCTGTTGTCCTTTTTTGTCCACCTGTTGTCGATTTCTTGTCCTTCCTCCAGCTTGATCAATGCTGTATGTTGAACAATTTTTAGTAATTTTTATGTATTTGTCATGTCCTTTGTCTTCTTCTTGTCCTACTCTTTGTCCTCCTGTTGTCCCGTTGTTACAGTCCTTCTGCTGGTGTCAACTAATGTTGGAGCCTGATTAGTAAATAGGTCCTCTATAATGCTATTTTTCCAAATTTATTCAGACCCTGTTTGAAAAAATGGTACCTCTATAATGCTAAAAAAAATTGGGCCCTAAATTTTTAAATTGGAAACCCAATTATAAAGGTTTGAATTCCTTCTGAACCCTGTCCACCTGCACCCCCCCGTCCCTTCCTAGGCAAGCAGCCAGCAGCAAAGCAAAACACAGACAAACAGACCACCAACAAGATGTTAGCTAACTAATTACAACCCTAGTCCCAGAGGCCAATGATTATGATTCATTAGCTGATATAGCTTTCTCTAGGTT